TACGAACCCTTCGTACGAACAAAAGTAAGAGAAACTTAGGATAAGAATACGAACATGTTCTTGCATGAGGTCCACTGATCCCTCTGTGGGACATATAGAACTGGTGGGGTATCTGGACATGCAAAAATGCTTAGAACTCAGAGAAACTGTTCAACATAGGAGCTTCAGATTTTTTTTTTTTTTTTTTTTTTTTTTTTGGTTGTTTAGCTCTGATGAAGCTCTATCCATCAGGTCCACCAATGAGTGCCCCCTAACCCCTCAGACTCACACCCCATCTGAAAAGCAGTGTCTGAACATACAAAAATGTGTATTACTCAAAAGTTCATTATTCTTCACCCACCCATCTTATTCATTGCAGGTGGAAGCTGGCAGTTGTAAGGCATCAAAAGGAAAATTTTCACATTTTACTTTTTCCTTGACACAAATTTAACTTTTAGAACGTTTTTAGATGGGAATGTAGCACTGTAGAACTCAAATATCTACTTGCTTTGTCAATGTTTTGCTTAATTCTAATTTTACTTCAACGTTTTCGGACATGTCCACTGTCACTACACTCTGCTCACGAGGATGCACTGCAAATGCGGAACATGCAGCCATCAGAGCGCTGTTAAATAAAGYGATAACTTGGCTCCTGTCTATCATTACAGAACCCCTCTGCATCATTCCACAGGACTACTTTTTTATTTACAGCGATAGCCTGTGGTTTCACTTCTGTATTAAAAAGCGATGTCTACAAAATATTATGCCCCAAAATGTGCAACTTCACTTTGCACTCACACATTTCCTCACACACGAGCACGCACCCATGCCCGTGGCATTCCAGTGCGGTGTCACTCTTAAATGAATGCTGCGGTCCAAACGAAGAGGTGTTCTGCTCAAAGGCTTCTCTCCTTTTCTCTGTTTTACGGCACAGCTGAGAATCTGGTGACATCTAACCAGCAGGTAAATTGTCTGCTAAACATCAGATCCCAAAGTTTTTTAAACTTAAATGAACTTTGTATCGTTTGTGAAGACTATTAACCCTTTATTATCATAAAAAGCAGAACAGTGATTTAGCTCACACCAACTGCAGCATTAAGCCTCTTGGTGAGCCGGATGGAAGTCACCCACAGGCCTTGTATAATGCATGGCCCATGTGTCACATACAAGTTGTATTTGGCARATGGGCTGTAGACCATCTGATTCTGCTAAAGCTTCTTCATCCATGTTTCTGTCTGGAGATACAAATTTAAAAGAACCTGATTGGATAATTATATTTTCATGAACTAAAAGTTTCTTGTTCAGCTACACAGTACATTACAGAAAATAAGAGTAATTAGCAACAAGAAATAACAAAAACTACACTGAATATAAATATGCTATATAAAATGTGGTTATTATTATTAATGTTATTATTACTTATATGTAACATTCTATATTTGCTGAACAAATAGACCTTCTCTAAAGGGTCTCCACCGGTTTGAAACCCCCTGAGTCTGGAGTCAGAGGTGATTCTGATTTAAACGGAGGCTATCCTCTGTGCTGAGACAGAGTGAGAAGTAGCATGATGTCCTGCTTTATGACTACAGATGGAAGAACATGTTAGCATATGAGAAGCTGCAGGATTATTCATGTAAGCAGATCAGCCTCCATCCTCAACTGATTGGATTGAGATTAAAATGTTGCTTGGAATTATGGCTGAATAGTATGTATACAGAACTGCTGATGATATAACTATGTCCATGCAGATAAAACAGATTTAGAGTGAGATGAACACAGGGCAGTTAGACATCCAAACAGGGTTTGATTGCAAGATATGCCACTGAAAGTCATCGCTACTCATAATCCAGGCAGTCATGGGGGGCCTGGAGAGTTATTAAAAAAACTGTTCGTTCCTGTTTGTTTCATTGAAAATAAAATAATTTTGTTCATGTTCAAACTATCAAAGTCTAAATGAGTGAATTATTCATTCATTCGTTCATTTAGACTTTGATAAGTAAATACAAAACAGACAAAAATGAATGCTTTATATCTTTTGATATATATTTGGTTTATAATTATTATTTGCTCAGAGATGCTGTTTTACAGCCACTGGCAACTATAGAAACACTGCTCTTGGAGGATATTCTTTGTTTGATTTGAAAAAAAATTATAGATTTTCCACAAAACTCTACCTTTTCAAAATTTAAAGCCTCTGCCAAAAACYAATGGAATCACTATAACTTGCAGTTCTGCCCCTGCATCCAATTAACTATTAAATCTGCATGGTTTTCAGTTAAAAACAGAAGCTGACGTCTTGGAGATTTGTTGAACAATAAKTGAATACATYACAATGRCTATMTTGTAATTTTGGACYYTGATTCTTAATCCCACCAACACTTSTTTCTTAGAGGAAGCTGACTTGGGGGGCTTGTGGGTTGGTCTGTCCATAGTCAGG